GCGACTAAAATAAGCGTCATTGAAGACTCAGGTTCCCTTCACCGAAATTCTTGTTTTCAATCTAAGACTATTTTGGGAAGTTTATTTATTACGTTGTTAATGAAGTAACTTTTCTATTCTGTTACGTTAAGAATACATGAAAATGTCCGTTGCTGCCAACTATGCCCTATACCGTCTTTTAGCTGGTAGAGAGAAATTTTCCTCTTTCTGATGAATGTTGGCAACAACGACATGATGTGAGTGAATTCAATATGGTTGCCACCTATAGGCGGAAACGTACAACTCAAAAGTAAGTATTTATGGAATCTTGTATGATTTTTTCACATTTTTGTAATGACTTAAAGTTGAAATTACGTACTATCATTTTTCTAGTGTTACTGAAGCTGGATCTTGTTTTATTTGATGATTGTGCAAATACGTAGTTTATTTTTGTTTATATTTATCACCTTATGCACGTAACAACACTTACCTAGGGGCATCCCTAGGTCCTTAATTTAATTTTCCAAGTGAGATTCTGATTTGGAAGACGTTAAAACATGTGGCCAGAAGAGACACTTGTAAATATTTTCTCTTCATAATACTAAAAACAAGTTACTAACTTCGAAGCCGAATTGTGAGTTTCCATTGCAGTAAAATAGGGTGTAGGAAGACTGGGGGGAAGAGCCCAACTCCTGCAAAATGAACTTTGCAGGTCTTGGGAAAAGAAATTTTCTTATCTATCTTCAGATGATAATTATGGTGATGCTAAATCTGCTTTTGCCCATTATGTTGCTAGAGTCCGGTGGCGTGTTTCTGTGAACACGTTGATGAATCTTTGCGTTCCATAAAGAAAGTGGGCTATTCTTTGGCAAGTCGAGTATAAACTCGACCTTTCAACGAATATTCTGCACCATGGAGTGAGTGACCTGTTCCTTAACAGCATTAGCTTCAGCCAATCGTAAACAGCGACCCCAAAGGCTTTCATTTAAGTTCAGATAAACATTTTAAAACACCAAATAACACTTCTGTATCACAAAATAATTGGCTTAATTAATTTTCTCTCCTAAGTTGAACTAAATTCGTTCAAAGGAAACTTTCAGGATTTATTAGATGTGGTAAATCTGGCACCTTTTTATTCGGGCTACACTCCAGACAATTAATCACGAACTGTGAACCAATTTGAGTTACATGTAACGCGAAACAACCTCTGTTGTTGATTCACCTCAGTTAAATAACCCAAGAACCTGACAACGAGCAGGAGAGGGGATTGCTATGTTCCGAGTGGGCACGGTCTCTCTACTCGCTGCTGTACCCGCCATCTGTCAATCCACGCACGCACTGCGTTTCCAGTAGCGACCCTCCACCCTCAGAACTTGAACCCCGGGACCGAGGACAGAAAAGCTTTTCGTGAGCCATTTCAACATCGCGTCCTGACTTCGGAGGCGGGAGATGTAGGTCTCGCGAATTTAAAACTCGTCCAAAAAGGAAAGTAGTTACGTAACGTACTTGCCAAGACAACCCACTTACACTTCATCTCTTCTTCGCATTTCACGTTTAGCTCGCCAAGAACACCGACACATGGACAAGCTCTGACCTACTCGCAGGTAAGTACTCGCTCATTTGACGACGTTTTTACTAACGTCAGACGTAACAAACTAACTCAGCTCACCGAGATCTTATTTTTAACATTCACGTGAATTAGGCCACGATCTAATTTTCACGAATCGTATAACAGAATTTTTGAAAAAAAACCTGATCAATAAATTATCCCCGATTTTTTTTCCCATTCTCGTTCTGTACTGAGCCTGACAAATCCAGTCTGCATAATCGTATATAATTTCTCTAAGATCCAGTTTAATATTATCATTATAAACTACACGTAGTCTCTCAAATGATGTGTTCCCTTCAGGTTCACCTACTAAAACTCTGTCTTCTGTGTTCCCTCTCCCTGATGACGGAGGCATGTACAGCCTCTGAAACGTTGCTAAACTTTTACCAGACTACAAGGCGCTACAAATCAGAAGGTAGCCATGTTTGTATTCACCGCTGTGAAAACCTCAAATTTAACTCTGTATATATTTATAATATTTCTATGTGTGCTACATGCTCCGAAAACATCACCCTTCATCATGTGATCATCTTAATTTTTATATGATAAAGATTATAGATCATTTTGTAATTTTCTCCAGCCTTTTGTTAATTTTTCTCTCTTTGAGATATTGTTCTCAAAGATCTGTTCTCAAATAGGCCTAAATTCAATTTATAGGTTTCATTTTACCCCATTAAATGTTATCGTCGATCTACTAACCAATTACTAAATATTTACAAAATGCTAACGAAAGTATTTAGGTCTAGAAAATTAAAATTCTATTCTAGTGGATTTAGCGAGATTTGAAGTCTTCGCTGTGGTTAAAATGTTAATTTCGCTTTTCCGGATTGTGTGAGTAACTGTCAAGGTTTTTGAGGTTTGAATATACTGACTTTAAAGCATCACAACGCAGAAGATCTGAATTTAATAAATTTTATTTTTTACGCATTTATCTTACAGTTGCTGGGTCAAATAGTTGTAGACAGTTGCCCTCAGAAAAGACTATCCCCCCCCCCCTATAAGAATTTTTCTGGATGTTCTGGCAAAGGTAAAAGTCCCTAGCTTCTAGCGAATTAAAATTCTCTCGAAAAGATTTCGAAGAAAAGTTACGCGGAAAATTTGATGGACCATTTGAAAAAGTCAATGCAAATGGAAAGATGATAGATCTATTAGGAATTCTGGTTGTGAGGATATGACTTGTTCAGGACAGGATCTAATGGTAGACATTCTTAGTTTAAACAAGTTAGGAACTTCAAGCATCGCGTAATAAGTCTGGTGTTTTGGTCAGAATTTAACCCTGATATTTTACAATGGCCCCAGTGACGTCAGCTTTGTCTGGGATCAGGTACTTTTGCGTTGTCGGGTGTCTGGATGGGTGATGACGTTATCAGGGAGGATTCCCGATCAAAACCAAACTAACCATGGCAACCAAGGTAAAAGATCTGGAGTCATACAACTATTGAGAATAAACAAAGTGTAATGCTGTGTGTAAAGTGGTCGATAAGATTTTCCGAACTAAATGGAAAATTCAGTGGATCGACATTTTTTCGTAAAATTCTCCAATATGAAATGTCATACATGTCGGTCTATCAGTTCACGAGTTGTTTAAAGACCTTGGGCAGACAGTCGGATGGGGCGATTTCAGTTGGCACTTTCAGTGTTCCGAATGCTCATAAAATTACGTTGAATCTTTGGGTTCTACTACCGGAAAGTTGAGGAATTTAAAACTCCTTGCAGAAAAATTAAGAATGTTTTCATGAAAGTTACTAAAATTTGTATAAATCTGTAAGGGATAAAGCTAAGATATTACTTAAAGTCATTGACGGATGGACGAAGGAAACCCTCTGGTTTCCCCGTTTTCGGCTAATCCGCAGGCAACCAGTGCTTCTGAATAAATTTCGCCAAAGACGGTTCTATCATAAATAGTCCAGATGCGACTACTGACATCCGAATTTCCAACTATCTGTCCTCCAGTTAACGCCCGATAGATGTCATCATTTCAACGAATCACGTTTCATATACACGTGATCTAACAAGTATATTGTAATCGAAAATATAATGTTTATAATATTTTGGATTTATTTTAATATCGAAACTTGATATATTAAATCATTATTCGCCAAAGTCAATTTATTTTAATATCGAAACTTGATATAATGAACCATCATTCGCCAAAGTCCAAATTCTTATAAACCAAACTAACAATCATTATAAACCAAATTCCGTTTAATATTGGTTTCATCGTTATTCGGCAATCGTAGGTCTGTGTGCAGAGTGGGTTAACAATTCCTGAAGTGTCTGGAGCGACATAGAAAGTGAAATATTAATATTTTGGCAAAAGTTGTATAAAACCGCTGTTTCCGCCTTTAACATAACATAACCTAACCTAACATAACCTAACCTAACATAACATAACATAACATAACCTAACCTAACCTAACCTAACTCAACCTAACCTAACTCAACCTAACCTAACTCAACCTAACCTAACTCAACCTAACCTAACTCAACCTAACCTAACTCAACCTAACCTAACTCAACCTAACCTAACTCAACCTAACCTAACCTAAGCTAACCTAACCTAACCTAACATAACATAACATAACGTAACCTAACCTAACCTAACCTAACCTAACCTAACCTGTGTCTCCGCCGCAACAAGACATTTTGTTAAAGCTTTGTAACCCACAACAAACAACTGACATTTGTATACAAATCTGCGTTGAAGTACTGAATGTATCCAAATAAACTACATCTCGAATTTCGCGATATTTTATTAACAAACATTCAAATACCATAACTCAGCAGAAAGAAACACAAATAAATAGAAACTAACATTTCGCAGTCCTTCAACTGAGAGACTGTTCATGTTCGTTGACCAAGTTCAAATCTGACGTTGGCAACACTGGTAACTATAAATATTACGTAATTATTTCTCCTCTGGATGCAACCGTGTCAGGTGGCTGAATGTAGAAAACACAAATGTTTCTTCCTGTACAAGGAAATATGTTTAGTGTCTCGACATTAATATATTCTTCTGGGTTTTAGCTCCGTGTATAAAAGTGAGTACATGTCAAGGATTTTTTTATTAAACTTTATAAAATATCATTCCACTGGAGACTCTTTGAATGTTTAATTTTCTACTGTCAATAATAATACCAATATGGCGGCCGTGAGAAATTAATCCCTTTGGTAGAAGGACATCGATAAAACAGTCGAAGCGATGAGCCAAATATCTCCATATAAATCCGTAGTCAAAAATGCGGAGTGATTTACTTTGTACGTTTTCTGTAGGACGGACTTTAGTATGAACCTTTCATACTTTAAGTTATTGGGACATTCTGACGGGTGTATGTACAGAGCTCATTATGCCTCCATTTTATTCACGACTGCAAAGAGAGAGAGAGAGAAGGCTCTGTGTCCAGAGTCTGTTCTTAACTACTCTGAGACGTGCTGTGATTTCTGACATATCGAACTGTAATTTATTGAATTCAAGCTTTCCCAGACTTAATACGTGTATATTTAAGCACCAAATCTTTAACAACCCAGGAAATTCCGGGAGGTGTACTTCTGTCTGCATGTTTCAGATGACTTATTCTATATGGCGATCGGGGTTACATCTTCCTAGTCGAGTTAAAACTTCGCATTGTAAGATAAACAAATGAATGCCGAATTTATGTCGGCCTATATTAATAAATCAGTTATCACATTCATTCAAATTTCGGTCATTGTTTATTAACGGAGAAGAAAATGAGATACAATAAACATATTTCATTTGGTATATAAACATATTATGCTCCGAAATATCGATTGTTTGCGTATATTTCGTTCAGGAGGTGAGATTGTATCCCTCCGCACCCCGATCGACGCAAACACTGGATCTAAGTGTTGAACGCAATTCAGAAAATGACCGAATGAGTGCGTGCGTAATAACAGTTGTGCAAACCTAAATCGATATCGAGTTTCAGTGATGTAAAAAAAAAAAAAAATCCCCGCCAGTCACACGCGCTCTAGTGGCTGGATTCCGTTATGCTACGGTGAGAAGGCGGACAAGTTACATAAGCAGCGCCCACAGATCTCAACCCGATCCGAACCGATCGATGGAGTAGGAGCACAAGTTAAAAACTTAGTTCCGCGGAAGCATACTACAAGGGTTTCCACTGATCGGTGGTGCTGCATTTATATTCAGACCATATATGAGAAAGTTGATAATTTCACCACGAAACGCAGCATCGCCCTTTAATCATGCATAAACGTTTCTATTGGTGCATAAATGACGTACGAGTTAGTGGGTAAACCAACAAAAATTCACCCCTTCATGCAAATTAGTGTTTCCGACTCTGTAAATTACTATGCACAAAACGTTTTCACACTTCAACATCGCCAGTGCTTTGTTAATAGGCCACAGCTGAAAAATATCGCCTCTATTTTCAACATCAGCTTTCGCGATTATTCTTATCGGCACGCGTTTTCAGTTTCACAACGATAAAGGCTTATTCCGTTGTGTATTCCTATCACTTAAACCTTATTCCAGACTATCGTCGTGAGTAAGCTGTTCGAAATAACTCGGACGGCGTTGAGCGTTATCCCGTCAAGGCCATTCGCTTTCTACTCTCCACGCTCCTACATACTTCCCCTCCTCGATCCGTAAAGCCTTGCGAGTTAATTCTCGTCGTATTTAACCACACTTTCAAGAATTCGTATTACGTAGCGTCGGGGAAAAAAAAGGGATTATTTGTGAATAATTAATTTAAATGGGTGTTGAATGAAACGGCAATGATATAATTTGAGGTACTATCCTAGGATCTGACTGTCGGAACAGCCGGTATACGAACCAGGATCGCTAATCACTTAGTTCCAATATTAAGTCTTAAAAATTAAAGATTCTTATGGGCTGTTCATTCCATAGTGAGGAATTATGAAGGGAAATACATCTTCTTTAACTAATATAATTATAAGATAGTGTAATAGCGTCATATTGTGAATATTATAACAATTATTTATTTTAATCCGTCT